TGGCAGGCTGCTCCCCGGGCAGTCCGCAGGAGGGGTGCCCGGTGGCCTTGAGCCTCGCCGATGTAGCCCTGCGTGCAGAAATGGGAACAGAGCTGCTCCGCGGCGGGTGGCGTCCGCAGCTCCGCTCTCCTGGCGTCAAGCGTGCTGTGCATCCCAGACCGGCAAGTTGGGGAGGCCTCTATCCCTGTTAGATTTAGGCTGAAACTGGTCAGCGCTGTCAGGAGATCCCACGGAGACCTTACAGGTGCTGTGCAATTGCAGAAGCCTCATTTCCCCAGAAAATCAGGCTAATAACCCATATCCCAAATAATTCATTGAATAAATTAACAAATTGTTGAGGGCATATGGCAGAACCTGCGAATCACTGGTTGTGGCACTGTGGTTCCAAGATGTCGGTCGATCCAGAGAGCACAAAGCAAAAACCTGTGGGCAAAAGGCAGCTGGACGTATTCATGTGTAACATTCTGTTACCAAGACTGGTTATAACTATACCCTCAAACTAATTAACCAGTGCTGAGTGCTTGCAGAAAAAAAAACCTGTAATACAGTGTTAGCTCTGAACAGCCCAAGTGAAAATACAAGGTAATTTATACCTGTGTAATTGATGTACGCCCAACCAGTGCCCTGGCTGCAGGTACGCCCTGCGCATCCACCCCTTCACGGTGCTCCGCTAATGGGCGTCCTTTACCCAACCTGCTACCTGTCAGGAACAAAGTTCCCAAAACTCAGGAAGAACATGGAGCTGAGGTCATTTCATCGGTGACAAGCCTGAGACAAACTTCTCTTTCAGTGCTAACATTTGCCAACTCCAAGAAAGTCAGTTCAAAACCTGTTCACAAAGGAGTCAGTCATGCGTGGTGTTCCTTTGTCTTTGGAATGACAAAAGTAGGACCAACCCCCATCCACATCAATCTTTGATTTGGTTTTTGCTAACAATGGGAATTTTAGAAATCCTAAATTCAGCCAGCAATAATTGTGTCTACACTGACTGTTAAGGGAGAAAATGAAGGCTGTGTGTTTCTAACCAGCCTGGAAGCGTGGCCTCTGGCACGGACGGACGGTTTCCTCCAGAGGACAGAGAACACCCAGTTTATTACGTGTGTCCCAGGCGTGTCCTGCTGGGAGGGTGACAGGGCCCAGAGATCGGGGAGGGTAATGAAGCACAGCCCACCTCCTGACACTGCGTTCCTTCGAGTGGCAGAGACAGAGCCAATGTGCCCCGTGTATGGGCTGTTCAGACATCTGATGAAATGTTGAAAGGGACTCCTACTCTATAGAATGTGATAGAAAAATCTGGATAAAGAAAATACAGAAGAGATAAAGGAGGAACCCTTTGAAATTCCTTGGGGATCACAAATGGCCGCAAGCTCCACCTAGGCTGTCACCGGAGGCACGATTGATATTCTGCGGGAAGACTGATACGACCCTGAGAAAACCCTGGATATACCCTGAGAAGTGATTTGGCTGATGAGATCTGAGAAAAGCCCATCTAGTGCCGCCGCTATGCGTCCCCCTCACTGCACACACACTGAAACCAAGATAAGAGCTGGAATTTGGGCATGGAGCACCAACTGAAACTAACATTTCTCAGAACCCTCTCAAAGGCAGTATGACTCGCCTGGAGCCAGACAGCAGAGGCTGTTATATCATAAGTAGATTGCTACTCCAAAGAATAGACAATTAAAAGGACAATATTTCCCATGCTCCACCCTGGTCCTTCCTTAGGTCATGTTTATAGTACCGAGATTAAAGTGTCCTCTCTGAATCCAAGGGGAAGTGTCATGAAATGTGCTCCTCGAGTGAAACTGGGCGGTGCAAACCTTATTCATTATTAGAGTTTCTTCATTGTTCTCATCATACGCTCTCTGTAGTTTACATTAATTTCAGTCCATCTCGTACAATAAAATAGCACAGTGGGTGTCTCCTCAAGAAAGATAACATTTGCCAAAATCTTGGAGAACAAAATGAAGAAAGGAGCAAGAGGGAGTGACTGAAATGGAAATTATGTTGGACGAGAAGGATGAAGAAGTAAGAAAAAGGAGTTCCTGAATGCTGCTGCCATCATGGCAAGCTGAAAACACAGCATCCATGAGTTTCTGGCTCAAGAAAGCAAACCAGTCGGGACTTAAAATTAGCACTCATTTAGTGTGTATCCTGTACCCTGAGTTGTCAGGAGACCTGTAATGCACAAGTGCTTAAGCGAGTGAAAATTAAGAGAGGTTTTTATCCATCCATTTGTGTACTGCTTCACTGGCAGCCACTTCTCTAACCTTGCAGGATCCACAGTAGTCCCGGGGGGTTGTGTTGCAGCTTGCTGGGCTGAGGGGGTGGCTGTGGAAAGTTGGGCGCGGGTGGCTTCGTGCCTCTCACACGCACTCTGTCCCTGGCGCTGCCCAGAGCTTGGCTTGTTCTAACATTTTAGACAAGTCTCAAAGCTGTCCTAATTACAGTAGCCCCCCGAAACCACCGTGCTGGCTACTTCCACCACCATAGCTAGCTTTGGTTCCTTGCAGCTTGCTGCCTCCTTCCTTCAGCCACCTCTTCTGCTAAAGATCTGGCACTTTCCCTGGGATGAGGATGTTTCCAGGATGCGCGAATCTTCTGACATCATTTTGTCCATCTACTCAGCTATGGTGGGCACAGAAAGACAACGAATAGGGAGTGTGACGATATTTCTCAAGCTCAACATCTGAAATTGCTACTTGAAGAACGGCTGGTTTGCATCTTTCTTCTGCGTGTTCCCCTTGATACAACTGCTGCAGCCCAGCAGTCCCTCTTGGCTCATCTCTTTTCCCCCAACCCCATACTTCCCTCTGCTCTTCTCTTTTTCATTTTGCAGCCAGCAGGCGTCTGCATAGTTTTCACTTGACCAAATACTGTGAAAATGCTCAAGAAAAACAAGTATTTCTGCTTGTTCTGTTACCGCAGAACTCATCTTTTTAATGATCTGTAAATAAATAAGTCCCTACTGCTGTGCCTTGTAACTAACACGACAGTAAGGGTCAGGGAAGTACCCTGCTTCTTCACTAAATGTTAATATATGGCCTGCAAGGGTAGAATATGCAAGCATTTAATAATAAACAAATTGTCGCGCCTGCTAAGAGATGGGAAGTAACCCACAGGAAAATGTGTTATTTATGAAATTTTTGCTATCAGCCTGTAATTAACTGTTGATGGACCTAGAGAGATGCCTCAGGTGAGCAGGGAAAATCTTCAGGTAGCTACCAAAAAGGTAAATAAAACAAATAGAGCACACAGTGGTTGGTTATGTCTTTATTATTTCCACCATGTCCTGGAGCCTCAGTGTGCCTGTTACAAGGGCAGAGCACTTCACACTCTGCTTCCTTTTCCTGAACGTTAGATAGACAAAGGAATAGGCGAGAAGAGAGTGAGACTGAAGCCAAAGAGGACACCTGGCAGCAGCACTGTGCAGATTATGTATCTTAAACATTAACCATGCCTGACTTCCTGCTGCCACTTGCCAACTGTGTGACTGTTACAGCTGGATAAACAGTCCACATCCACTACCTGCACACGTGCAACCGTCATCTGGTTGCAGAACTGGTTACGAACACCAAACGCAGGCTAGGAAGTTCCCCAATGCATTTTTGCTTATTTCCTGGACGAAGAGTGCACAAAGAGTGCGAGTATTGTTTCTTACTGTTTGTGTCAGTTAGTATCTGTGTATCCCAGGCCTGTTCTAGAGCATGTTAAAGCAGGAGCAACACTGAGAGGCAAAGTTTCCCCCAGCTGAAGCACAAGGCAAGGAGATCACACTGGAGTCTGCCCAAC